CCCCTAGTTTTTGTTCAGCCGCCCTAAGTCCCTTCGGGGAATAGGGCGGCTTACAAATCAAATAAATACCAAATACCAAATGGGATCTGGAACCCACCACTGACCTGGATGGCTTTTTGGGATTGTTGCCCAAACCCAAAATAGGACTTAATGTGATGTGAGAACTCAATTGCTACATTGGCACAATATCTATGAGTTCCGCAACTGCTTGGGCTTCAAATCTCAGACTATAAATGACCTTGAAGATCAGGGTTAGAATTTCACAGCTACACATTTCCTTCCTCACTGATCTTCTTGCCTTCCATGAAAGAAACATATAATAGCTCCAAGGTTTTAAGCAGAGATCTTTCCCAGTCTTACCTTCTGGAAGTTCATAAAAAGAAACCATGAAAACAGAACCTCCATCTGGGTCACCCTTAATTTTTCCAAGACATAGAAGCATGGAGATATCCAAGTCTCTTTTAATGTTTCTAGCAAATGCTGCTTCACATATTATTACCCCACTGGAGAATGTCATGCTGGAACAAAACCAGCATCATTCTAAACTTTTATGTCAACTAAACATCATACAAGAGCTTCTTCTTCTTATGTCATATCCGTCATTGGACGTTGGCGTTCATGTTGGCGATCCAAGAGCTAGCTTAATATAATGAAGTGTTTTCTCAACCTTGGCAGCTTGAAGATGCTTCCAGAATTCTGGGAGTTGAAGTCCACACATCTGCAAACTGCCTGTTCTGACCGAGGCTTCCCAAGAGCATGAAGCAAAATCCTTGTTATTACTTTAATACTGTGAATTCTGCTCACTCACATCCAGCAAAGTCTTTCAAAGGAGGATTTACAGTCACAGACCTTCTCAGGCTTGGAGAGCTGACAGACCGATATCTGCAAAACTTGGCAAGGAGAGTCAGAGAGTCACGAACCAATTAAGCAAACTAATTGTCTCCTGCAAACTCCACTCCCCTTTTGCTCCTCTTTTGTTTCCTCTGGGAGGGGCCATTCATCATACACCTGTGGCCTTACTCCCAAGTTGACCCCTGTTCTTTAGCTGTTCCCTTCGTCTGGCAACTCTGCGCATGTTTACACGGGGAAGAGGCTCCAGCTGTTCATCTGCCCCACTGATGTCTCACTCTGAAGGCAGCTGATAACTGTCAGATGGCCCTGGCCCCCTCTGCCTCTGATACAGAGCCCTCATCAGAGCCTTCCCCAGACTCCAGGATGGGCCCATGTTCCTCCCAACCTTCTCACTATCTGAATCTGCTACCAGCTCCACTGGCCACTGGCGGGCCACAACACTGCCAAGGTTTGAGGAACACTGATAGAATGCTTACAGGCCCTGGTCTAGAACTCAAGAGCCACAGGTTTTTTAGATCTAAAAAGGAAGCCATTTCTGAAAAATGTTGCCAAGAAAAATGTTGCAAGGGTTTGTTCATCAGGAGTCAAGACTAACTCACAGGATAACAACAACAACCACCATGTACAATGACCCTCCAGTCATGTGTTTTACACACACCCCTTTTCATCACTTTTAATTTGACAATCCCTCTAGGGACAACACCCAAGGCTTTCAGGAACCAAGCTGTGTACTTTTGTTTTATAGCTGAAGATGTTAGGACAGAATCGTAAAGGTAAAGGTTCCCCTCACACGTATGTGCTAGTCGTTCCCGACTCTAGGGGGCAGTGCTCATCTCTGTTTCAAAGCTGAAGAGCCAGTGTTGTCTGAAGACGTCTCCGTGGTCATGTGGCCGGCATGACTAAATGCCAAAGGCACACAGAACGCTGTTACTTTCCCACCAAAGGTGGTCCCTATTTTTCTATTTGCATTTTTTACGTGCTTTCGAACTGCTAGGTTGGCAGAAGGTGGGACAAGTCACAGGACCTCGCTCCGTTAAGCAGCACTAGGGATTCGAACTGCCAAACTGCTGACCTTTCTGATCGAAAAGCTCAGCATCTTAGCCACTGATCCACTGCGTCCCTCACAGAATCATAGCTGCCCTGTAATAATATTAAGAACAGCCTCAGCTCAGTCTCCAAGGTGGAAAGAAACAGTTGGGTCAAGATGACTCAATCAAGATTACTCAAAAAGACAGCTGTCAACATGTGTCAGAGGAGAGCAAGGTGACATGTCATTGTTTGCTCATGGAGGACTTCTGTTTTTCACAACGTGGGCTATTTTGTGTATAATTGCCTTGTGCAGGAAAATGGAAGGCTAGAATCTACAATATTCAAGTCTTGTTTTACCTTAAAGGTAAAAATTCCCCTGGCACATGTGTGCTAGTCATTCCCGACTCTAGGGGGCGGTGCTCATCTCCGTTTCAAAGCCGAAGAGCCAGCCCTATCCGAAGACGTCTTCATGGTCATGTGGCCGGCATGATTCAACGCCGAAGGCATATGGACTGCTGTTCCCTTCCCACCAAAGGTGGTCCCTATTTTCTATTTGCACTTTTTACATGCTTTCAAACTGCTAGGTTTATTATGTGGCACTAGGGATTCGAACTGCTGAACTGCTGAATATCTGATCAACAAGCTCAGTGTCTTAGCCACTGAGCCACCGTGCCCTTCACAGAATATTATATTTCCCTAAATGGAGAAGATGTTTTTAGAGGCAGAAAGCAGCCCCCACCTTTTCTTAATAGCCCACAGCAGATGTCAGAGATAAAGAGTTTATTGAAAGAAGACAGGTATCTAGATAGCTCTATTTATAAGCAAATACCCTCACCCGTGAAACAAAACAGGACGAAAGCCCTTACGCTACAATAGGAATTGCATCCCCTCCCAGAGCAGTCCAAACTTCAACCAAACCTAGGAGATCAGACAAACACCTAGGATTTGCATTTCCTCTTTTGTCTATAGAGCCAGATATGACCCCTACATAACCCCTACACGACTCCATAGGAATCTGACAACAGCCAATAGAATAAATGTTCTTGCACAGGAACAGGAAGTTCAAGTACAGAGCCCAGAGAAGGTATAAAAGCCACCCACTCTCAACTGCATGTAGTCAGCTGCCCAGGACCATGTGCTTGGTGGTTCTGCTTCATCAATAAAGGGACCCTTTTTCCAATCAGCTTCCACCCTCCATTTTGTCTCCAGTGCTTTTCTCCCGGCTGGAACTGAACCAATATCAGTTCTGGCTTGGAATTGATATTTCTTCCCACGACATCAGAGGTGGTATTCAGCAGGTTCTGACCAGTTCTGAAGAACTGGTAGCAGAAATTCTGAGTAGTTCAGAGAACCGATAAATACCACATCTGACTGGCCCTGCCCCCATCTATTCACTGCCTCCCAAGTCCCAACTGAACAGGAGGAAATGGAGGATTTGCAGTATCCTTCCCCTGGAGTGGGGACAGTATCCTTCCCCTGGAGAGGGGAGGGAATGGGGATTTTGCAGTATCCTTCCCCTGGAGTGGGGAGGGAATGAAGGTTTTACAGTATCCTTCCCCTGGAGTGGGGAGGGAATGGAAGCTTTACAGTATCCTTCCCCTGGAGTGGGGAGGGAATGGAGATTTTACAGTATCCTTCCCCTCGAATGGGGACAGTATCCTTCCCCTGGAGAGAGGAGGGAATGGGGATTTTACATATCCTTCCCCTGGAGTGGGGACAGTATCCTTCCCCTGGAGTGGGGAGGAAATGGAGATTTTACAGTATCCTTTCCCTGGAGTGGGGAAGGAATGGGGATTTTACAGAATCCATCCCCTGGAGTGGGGATGGAATAGAGATTTTACAGTATCCTTCCCCTGGAGTGGGGATAGTATCCTTCCCCTGGAGAGGGGAGGGAATGGTGATTTTGCTTTATCCTTCCCCTGGAGAGGGGAGGGAATTGAGGTTTTACAGTATCCTTCCCTTGGAGAGGGGAGGGAATTGAGGTTTTACAGTATCCTTCCCCTGGAGTGGGGACAGTATCCTTCCCCTGGAGTGGGGAGGGAATGGATATTTTACAGTATACTTCCCCTGCCATGCCCACCAAGCCATACCGCCCCACGCCCACAGAACCGGTAGTCAAAAATTTTGAATTCCACCACTACACAACATCATCAGTGTGATTGAATGTGGGGTTTGCTCCCTATTTGTGCACTGTATAATGGCTTGCCCTACACCAGTGCTGGTTCGTATGTGGGTTTTTTTCTTGGTCATTCCTTGATTAGGGTTCTGCTTGAATGTTTGGCTGGTGTTAATCTCTCCTTATATGGGTGTTATGTTTTTGGAAAAGATTTGTCCTGGTGTTTTTGTTTCCCTTTTTTCTTGTTTGTCTCTTTTGAATGGCGTGTAAACATAGTTTATTTCTATGTGTCCATGAATGTATATCAACATAATATGCATTTAGATCACGAAATGCAACACAACAAGCATTATACCAACACAGATTTGCATTCAGTACACATACAAAAGTTTCAAGCATATTATAGGCCAACCATAACTAAAATTTCATAGAAACCATAAACTGGAGAACGCGGAAGCTTGGCGCTTTCATGTATTAGACGCTTGCAAGATCACAAGTCAAATTTCAAAGGTTAAAGTCCACAAGACTCTTTTTTCCCAGAAAATAATTATTACTGAACTTCATATTTACAGATTAACTGAGTTGGAAGGGATCTTGTAGGTCATCTAGTCCAACCTCCGTCTCAAGCAGACCTGTACAGATCTGTAATTTCTTCCAAAAAGCCCATACCAGACACTATATTCTCTGTTTAGAGGGACAAAAGCCCTAATGCCCCAGAATACGCGGAATAAATGCAAAAAAGTCTCACAAACGCTAATAAGAAATGGAACAATTTACAATCACTGGGTTGCAAAGAGTGCTAAAGAACATTTATGGACTGAGAAAGCTGCCCGGCCATTTGAATAACATGATTTTAAGTCCTAGAGACATCTGTAGGGTTTCCCCCCAGGTATCCAACAGCTAAATTTATTTCTTTATTTTATTTATTTAGTTTGTCACTCCTGTACAAGATAACAGGAATAAGAATAAACATGAAGAAGAATAGAGGAAGTGGATACAAATAAATGGGGACATTAAGACAGGGACTTTAGGCACCCTGGTGCACATGCACGCCCCCACCCTATTTAATTTAAATAAAGTAAACAAAACTGAACTGTTAAATTTGCAGCAAATGGTTAAATTTGCAGCTGGGCTCCTGTCTGGAGCAGGAATCCAAAGCCCCAAACAAGACAAACTAAAACCAGTCCAGGTGTACAACAAGAGGTTGCAAGTTTTGAACCCCAAATGTCACACAACATGCAAGCCCAAAGTTACCACCTTTTGCTTGGCAGTCTGTATCAACCGAAATCACCCTTCCAGAAAACCAACCAATAAACAAACCACAGCTAAGCTAACCACGGTTTGGAGAGGGATGCAGGACGCCACCCCCCTCCCCAGTCCTGAGCAGAAGTCCTCAGCGATGACAAACCCCCCAAGTCCACCCACCCACCCCGCAAGATGCCCTTGCTTGCAGGATGAAAAGAAAGCACCCCTTTTCCTAAGCAGATGCCAGGGTGAATTAGCACCCATCGCGCTTGGCATGGTTTGATTAGATTTGATAGGGGCTGCCCAGCTGTGCCTATCAAAGCCTCGTTTTGTGGCCATAATAGGAATAATTCCCCCCTTGCCAAACTTTCTTCCCGCAAGAGCGAGAGAAGGGACCCCCAAGCCCGCTGCCCCTCCCCACTTACCCGGGGACCCCCTCCAACCTGCCGCGGGGGCTCTGCTCAGCCTGAGCCCCAGGAGGAAGAAGGGCAGGAGGGGGGCGCGGCTCGGCCCGGCTTTGGAGGCCCCCCATGATCTCCCACTCCCCAGGGACCAGGCGCAGCCCAAGGAAGGGACGGGGCGAGGCTGGGGCGGGTCGCTTTCTCTCTTCCCGCTGCTGCCCCCGGAGGACTTGACGCGCCCAGCTCCGGCAAGGGAGGGCCAGGCAAACGCGGGAGGGCGAAGTTCAGCCCCCGCGCTCAGCTACAAGGAGTAGCGGCCCCGCCGGGAGAGGAAGTTGGCAAAGCGGAGTTGGTCAACTTCTTTGCAAGAAGCCTTGAATGCGGGAGATTCTTGGTGACCTTTTGCGGGCAGAAAAGGGAGAGATTGGCTCATACAGATTAACAGAGCTGGAAGATACCTTGGAGGTCATCTAGTCCAACCCCCCCCCCCCCCCAAGGAGGAGACCCTACACCATTTCTGACAAATGACTGTCCAGATTCTTCATGAAAGCTTCCAGTGATGAAGCTCCCACAATTTTGGAAAGCTCACTCGGGCACTGGAGGATATCATTCACTGTGAAAAGTTTTTTTTTAGTCTCTTACATACAGTTACCAGTATACATTCACATAGTTATTATTATTATTATTATATTTGTCACTTTTACACGTTTATTTTCCCAAATAAAAAGTTGAAATATACTATCGCGGTTGCTTTCCTTACCATCCCATACACCTATTTGTAATATCACCACCCTGTTTTTCCTTCCTTTTCTCCCTCCCTCCCTTCTCTACTTTTTTCCTTTCCTCCTCTCCTTTCCCTTTCCTTCTTCCCTTACATCTCCCCTACTCCTCTCTTCCTCTTCCCCTTCCTACCCTCTCTCCTTTTTCTATCTGGGAGGGTATCATTCACAAGGGCTGGGTAACGCAAGTCAGCGGCTCAGCTAAAGCCTCGTCACTGAAGGTGAACCAGTCCAACCGGTGGAGAAAGTTGGCTGGGCATGGCAGGAGCCTTCCGAAGCACAGAAGGAGGCTGGTATGTAGAAGTTGGCAGCTCTAAGGCAGCTTTGTAGAGATTCTCAGTCATCCAGGTTCATGGTTGTCCCAAGGGTCCTTTTGCAGGAGGTAACTGGATTTTTTTGTTTTTTTTTCTTTTGAAGACATTTCACTTCTTATCCAAGAAGCTTCTTCAGCTCTGACAGGAGGGTGGGGAAAGAAAGGATTTATCCTCCATGCAGCTGGTCATTTGCATACTTTTAGAGGGTCATTGAAGCACTTGGAGGTTCATCTGTGTCCTCAGAATCTCTATAGACTTTCAGCCATACAATTTGGGATGAAGACCCTTTGAGTGGTGTGGGAGTTGGAATAGATTCTCAAAGGGAAAATTGCAGACTACAGGAATTATTAGCACCACTCAGGTGATTCTGAGGACACAGAGAAACCTCCAAGTGCTTCAATGACCCTCTGAAAGGATGCAAATGACCAGCTGTCTGCAAGGACTATAAATCCTTCCCTTCTCCACCCTCCAGTCAGAGCTGAAGAAACTTCTTGGATGAGAAGCGAAACTTCTTCAAAAGAACAAAAACAGAAAGTCCAGTTGCCTCCTGAAAAAGCATCTTTGGGACAACCATGACTTGGATGACTGAGAATCTCCATGGATATCCAGCTGTGGGCTATGCTGTCTCTTGTCTGACCATTCCCTAGGCAGCATCTCTTTGCCCAGACTCCCAAGGTCTCCGCTACCCTCACAGCAGGGCAGTTTTCCTTGGCAGGGAAGGTGGGGGCTGTAAGGCAAGCTCAAGGGATCTCCAGACCCGAACTGGATATAAAAGGGGAGGATTGAACCTGATCCACTGGAGATCTTTTCAACAAGTTTGGACTACATCCAGGATCAAAAGCCAGGGGTAAAAAGTAAGGGAGATGATCTTGACATCAATAAATCAGTAAACAAACTGAAATATTCTTGCAAGCAAGATAGTGCTGGGAAACAGCTGACAGGCTGCTGCCTTATTGCCAAGGAAGGAGATCTTAGACTATCTCAATGCAGTGCAATTCTCTTTTGGTGGATGTGATCACAGCATTAGAAGTCAGTGTCTACCAAGTCAATTTAAAAAAAAACACCACAGTATTTACACAGCGCAGCTTTGGCTGGTTTTCTTTCAACAGAGACTCGTGAATGTTTTAAATTGTTTTATTTATATTCTATGTAAGACACCGAAGAGTCATTTTGATCGCTACGTGTTTAGAAATGTGGGAAACCACCACCTGCTCCTAGAAGAATGAAATATTTTGAGGAATATTTAAAAAGGTAGGATAAAATATTTCCCCTGAAAGAGGAATGAAAAATCTTAAGGGAGACAGAAACTCAGAGACCCAGCTCCCTGCCCCCAAGCACATACTGGGGAAGGCGGCTCTTAGAAATGCAGATTTGGTAATCCATTCAAGACAGGATATTTTGAAATTCCCTGCAGCGAAGTCTGAACAAAGGCAGAATAGGATTAGCCCTCACTCAAGATCCAAAACAGGACAAAAGCCGTTAAGCCGCAATAGGTATTATTGCATCACCCTCAGCAGTTCAAACTTCAACCAAACCTGGGATCTCAGACAAACTCCTAGGATTTGCCTTTAGAGCCAGCTATGACCCCTACATAACCCCTACATGGCGCCATGAGAGTCAGAGAACAACCAATAGAATACATGTTCTTGCACAGGAACAGGAAGCTCACGTGCAAAGCTCAAGAGAAGGTATAAAAACCACCCGCTCTCAACTCCCTGTGGTCGACTGCCCAGAAATCAGGTGCTTCTGCTTCACCATTAAACCATCTTTCCAATCAGCCTCCATGTTTCCAATGTCTTTCTCCCAGCTTGGAATTGAACCAGATGGATATTTCTTTCCACAGAAACATGTTAAATCAAATAAAACACCTGGATTTTAAAAGAAGCAGCTACTATTTTTACTTTACCATAACTCAATGAAATTGTTCATTTTCTAGTGAAGGAGAATATTAGTAGCTCAGGATTGAAACGAGGGGTCCTTGGGGCTCTTTGAGCTTGCTTGGGGTTTTTTTTGCAGACATTTTGTTACCCAACTAGGTAACATCATCAGTGCTAAACGTCTGTGAGAAAACAAGCAAGCTCAGAGAGCACCAAGCTCTCCACCATTTCAACCCTGAGCTACAAAGATCCTCCTTTATTTTCTGAACAGCCACCTCTCACAAATCTTCTAGTGCCTAAAATACAAGAACCTTGTGTAGGAAATTAGCACCCACCCCTCTCCTAGGAAAATGAGATATTTTAGGAGATATTAAAAGGGAAGGATATTTCCCTTAAAAGAGAGGCAGAACACCTTTGTCAATGGACCATTAAGGCCTGAGGCAGTCAATTCTACATAACAAAGACCTACCTCCTTCAGACAGAGCCATAATAGGAATCCCAAAGCCCTATCATTACATCATCACCCAGCAAGAGACAACCAAGCCTGGGATATGCACGACTTACAATGTTGCCCCTGCATGGCCCCATGGGGGTCTGGCAGCCAATCAGAATGCAAGCTCAAATTCAAAAGCCCAGAGAGGGCACTCTCAGCATCTCTTCCCTTTTTCTGCCCAGGATCTCAAACCATGTGGTTCTGTCCACCCTTAAACCATTTTTTCAAGCAGCCTCCAATGTTTCCAGTGTTTTTCTTCCCACTTGGAACTGAACCCAGATGGACATTTCTCCCAACGCTTCCTAAACAGCGAAGCCAATAACTGAAACAGTTGGGAGGCATTTCAGATCATTCTTTCTACAGATATCCTGCAGGGGAACAGCCCGATCATGTGAGAATCGGACAGCGTCCCAAGATTCCATTGTATTCTCTCTCTCTCTCTCCCTCCCCCTCTCTCCCTCCCCCCCTCTCTCCAGGAAGTGCTTTCTTGATCTTTGAATAACAAGGAGTTCTGCCAAGGGGCAGGAACTCACCACCACCCCCTCCCCGTTGCAAGAAATCAGCTCTCTCAACTTTAAAGAGAAGCACATGGACCAGAACAGACTGCTGGTTCCTTTTGATCTCACAAGATTCATAGTACAAGAGTAGTGGAAAAATTGCTATGGAAAGCACTGGGTGCTATTTATTTATTTATTTTGTTTGTCAATAAGTACAAGGAAACAAGTATGAAAAACACATGAAAAATGGCACAAATAAATGGATATAAATACGCAAAACATAGACATAAACACATGAAAAGAGTACATATATCGTATTTTTGGAGTATAAGACACACCTTTTTCCCTCAAAAAAGAGGGTGAAAATCTGGGTGCGCCTTATACACTGAATACTGCATTTCTAGCCTCCCGAAACCCCACCCCCTTCACCAAACTGGCCATGCATAGCTTGTAGGAGGCTTTCAGAGTGCTCCTGGGGGCTGGTGAGGACAGAAGTGAGCAAAAAACGGGCCATTTTTTGCCCAATTTTGCCCCTCCCAGCCTCCAGGAGCACTCTATAAGCTTCCTAATGGCTATTGGGGCAAAAAATGGGTCTGTTTTCATGAAAAACTGGCCATTTTTTGCTTGTTTTTGCCCCCCCCCCCAATTGACCACGGACCACTCTACAAGTCTTCTAAAAGCTATTCATGCCCTTAAAAAAATGGGCCTGTTTTCGCAGAAAACGGGCCGTTTTGGGGAGGTTTGCAGAGTGCAAAAAAAATTTTTTTTTAATTTGCTTCTTCAAAACCTTGGTGTGTCTTATACTCTGAAAAATATGGTAAATGGGGACAGTAGAAGAGGGACGGTAGGCACGCTGGTGCCCTTATGGATGCCCCCTTATGGACCTCTTAAGAAACGTGTAAAGTCCACGGAAGACAGCTGAAGGTAAAAGATATGGGGGGGGGGTGTTAGAGGAACTAACAACAGGGTCGGGTAAGGTGTTCCACACATTTACTACTCTATTGCTGAAATCGTTTTTCCTACAATCAAGATTAGAACAGATTAAATTTAGTTTGTATCTATTGATAGCCCTTGTGTTGTTGCAGTTGAAATGAAAGTAGTCATCAACAGGTAGGACGTTATGGCAGATTATCTTGTGCTCTAAGCTCAGATCAGAATGTAGACAGCATAGTTCAAAGTTATCCATGCCCAAAAATTTCAAGCCTGGTGGTAGAAGGAATTTTATGACGAGCAGAGGAGTTTGAGTCCTCTTCTTGGAAAATATCTCTGGACCCT